CTGGAATTTGCGATGGTACAGCCAAACAATAATAATGTATGACCCATTGAGCTTTAAAGGAATTACGCTTATCTTCCAGGAAGCAGGTTTGGTGAGTTAACTGTTCGGATTTATTTCGGCTTTACATGTGACTGATGACTGAATTTGGAGAAACAAAAAGCAAAAAAAAAAAAAAAAAGTTAAATTAAGTCCAGTTGTTGAAGCATGCTGCAAGATACACATCAAATTAAATTCACACACTCTGTTTTTGTGTGTGCCATCTAATTAGATTAAAGCTGCTTACCAGAGCATACTGCACTTTCTTGAAATAAAGGCCTGCCAACTTTCCTGTCAAATTTCCCCAGTAAAACAAAATATTAAACCGAATCTGTTCTTGTTTGCCAATTAATGATACAGTGTGACAATTCAATACACTAAAAAGATGCTCAGAAACCAGGAAAGATGTTGCCAGGCCTCGTGGCATTCTTTCTTTAATGAGTTAAAGGAAGTAATTGATTTCCCAAAGGGGCGATGTTGTTTTGGAAACACTATTTTCATTTTGTTCTAATGGACAATTACTTAACATAGGATTGTTTTTTTCTATTCCTAATTATACTCCAAGGGAAAGAAAAAAATCACCATTTGCATAAAAAGTGGTGTTCATCTATCAACTCGAATTATAGGCAGAAATATTCACAGGTAAATGGTTTCTGGAGGCTGGAATCCCGTAGTAAAGTTATAATTGTCTAAAGCGTTTACTAATTTATATGTTAAGAGAGGCAGAAGCTTCCAAAGCTGACATTTGCAAACTACATAATAGCTAATGTGCCGCACAGCTCTCAGAACTGTCAAGAGCACCAGACAGATGGCAGCATTTCAACACACCTTTCAGTTACTTGCATCATGCACTATTTCATTTTCATCCAACAATCCAGGTAGCAATGTTCCTGACTTTTCAAGGCTATCCATTTACTGTGACGGCCAAATCAGATCCTTACTGAAAAATTCATCCCCAAATGTCAGCCTGCGCACAACAAGCAATCGGCACGGCGCTCCAAAATACCACGGTGAATATTTTAGAATAACTAAAAGCAATCCAAGGTAGACATTTATATTTCATATGCATGTCCTTGTACCTCACGATATCTTTGAGAGTAATTTGTCTTTGATGTAGGCGAGGCATCAATATTTGAATTTCTTAAAAAATCACACTGGATCAAGGTCAAGCCCAAGAAACAAGTTTTTTAGTTGGTCTAAGGTTTGTTATTTGAAACTTAGAACCTAAACTTTTATATATACTATAGATAGACATAAGTTATATGTACTTGTTAACATATAGATATTAAGCTACAGAGATAGCTTTTCTGCTGCAAAAGAGAGAACAAATTGTGAAATGCTGTGGCACGGTCAGCCATCTCTTCACTTGCTTGTTTCCATCTGCTGTTGCCAGTTTCTGCCACAGAGTGGTGCAGACGCTGCTGTCTTGGAGTGAGGCAGGGCCAGCCCCGTGTCCCATAAACACACACAAATCATTTACATGCTGTACTCATCAAAGGCAACTCTTCCTCATCTCCGCAGAGATTTGCTGCTGATCTGAGCTTCCAATATTGCATCTCAGAGCGTTGCGGCTAACCTTTGCAACTGCCAAGAATGTGATTAATTTTTTAAATACAGCTGTTGACCTATTATTGAGATGGAGAAGAGCCACGCGAGACACTCATCTCCTCTCCGCTGTATAATGGAATGCATTATTGCATCAGTGTTTACAAGGCGTGCTAAAAGAGAGACAGAATGAGGGAGAAAGCATTAAATAAAGCAATTCAGCTAATGTCGCTTTGGGCCTTGTGCACACACAAAATGCCAATCAAAAGTCGCAATTCTTTGATTCATTGCAGTTTGCGCTGGCAGTTGCATCTGAGAGAAGAGCGGTGACACAATGTGGAACAATAATTACCCCGCAGTGTTAAAGTCCTCCAGTGTCTTGGTGCTTTCATAAATAAAATATGTTCAAGATAATGGATTTATGCTCAATAATTCATCATCCGAATGTTTCAAACCAAGTGATATGTGTCGCAGTATTCTGTAACACAGCGCTTAGCCAAATTAAGTTATCTTGAAACAGATTTATTGACAGGGCTACTGCTGTTTCCATTTACTCAGCAACCATTTCTTAATTACCCCTGCAAAACACATAAAACAAACAATGCCAATGGACTGATTCTAAACCACTCAGTGTCATTATTAACTACACACCGTGCATTCGAGTCCGGACCAAAAAGTACCAAACATTACAACTCGCTCAAACACTTTGAGTGGCTCTGAGTTAGAGTGAGAGGAGAGCAGTGGGACTGTGATATTTGTCATTCATGACCTTGGTGCTAGCCAGCCATACAGGCAGTTTGGTTTGATGACCCATCAGAGAATCTGTCTGGGTCCTTGCAAGAGCCAGAGGACCAGGGTGACATCCAGGTCTGCGGTCTGTTCAGCTGGACGGGGGTCAATCAGTGGGGCTGAAGATCCAAAGCCAGCTGGAGAGCCATGATTTGACTGGCCTTCATGTCCAGAGTGTCCCATTCCCAGAAGCAAGAGGAGGCCTCACTGGCACGTTGGAGAAGGCTGCTCATACTCATAATTAATTGCATGAGTTTGTATGGTGTAGGACCAGCACAAGCATATTGCGGTTTTGCATTAGATTGCTAGAAAGACAGAAAACACATGCATATATATAAACAATGAAGTACAAATCATCTGTGTTAGTGTAAAGCAAGCCCTACCAATGTGATTATGGTTAAATCAGTTGTCTCAGCCACAAACAAATACAAATGGGACAGATGCACTTGCAATCAACTGCAACAAGATACCCACTTTAAATAAAAACAACTCCATTTCATCAAAACACACATATGCGGTGCTTAAATCAAGAAAAGGCTTAAGCATCCAGCAGAGAATGAGGGAGAGAGAAAAACAATTTACATGCAAATCAAACCTTATCATCTCCATCTCTTTATGCCACTTTTGCCGACAAAATTGCATTCATATGCACAAAGGCATTCAATTACTGTAGCTGTGGCTCAACTTTTCACATACCAGCATTTTCTATTTGGAGAGGCAGGCCCATGTACATTTAATAGGTAGCCATTCTGTTCCCCGGCTCTGCGAGAGATCACTGCCAGTGTGTCAGTTAGAGGAGATGGCAGCATGTATCAGTGCATGAAATAAAGCTCATGCTCCAAAGTGACAGGTCCTGGATATTGTTGGCAAATGGATGTTAAATTCACTCTGCAACCACCAACAGCAGCCCTGGCTATGAAAAATTAACTGTACTCTGGCTAAAGGGAAGGGAAATTGCTTTGCTAGATATACCACAAAATCCTGTTTGTGAGCTATCCATCTGTCAGATCTCTTTGCAAAAAAAGTCCTTCAGCTCTCTCTATTAAAGAGTCTGCTCTCATATGCTGTTCAGAGTAATCCAGTATGAGAGCGGAAACAAAGAGATGTCAAAGAGAGTTAGAGTAAATCCTAAATCTGTGCTGTAGATTACAAATCAGGAAAGAACACTGGCTCCAAGGGCCACAAAACAGACCAGGTACTTGTTATATGTGAACCACTAGAGGGCACCAATCTAGTGGTTCTACTGTTACTATTCAGTAGTTAAAGAAGGTTAGTTCACTTAGTGTACATTATAGTCTATAACTGTTGGCTTTGGGAAGCAAAGTGTTATACACCAAACTACATAAGAAACATTGTAAAGGATACATTTTCCACTGCACAAGAAATATTTTGTAAACCTTTATTTATCCAGGGGCGTGATTTCCAGGGGGTTTAGGGAGGTTATGACCCCCCCAATAATTAGACCCAACCAATATAATCCCCCCAATAAAATTTCAGGTATTACCAGCAAAATAGTATAATGTTTAATCATCTGGGAATTTACCCAGATTTATTTCAGCACAAAGTTACACTGATGTATATATACACAAGGCCTGGTATTATATACATGTTTTATCTGCAGATTGCTGTCGTTAAGTAAAATGTCTCATGAGGTTTGAAGTCCACTCATGGTAAGCAGCAGTGTATTTATTTATTGTTTTTTTTTGTTTGTTTGTTTGTTTGTTTTTTTACCGTGTATTTATTTTCTATAACATGTATACTGGGATAAGTCAGCATTAGCAAATCTCCCCCCGGCACACACACACACACACTCTCACCCTTATTAGTTTTCATGGGTACAATACATATGGTTCACTTGGCTCTTTCTAGCTTCCAAATATTGAGACCAGTTTCGCATCCTACCAGTAGATGTCAATCTACCACTTTGAATAACTTCTGGCCTTTCTGCAACTGGGTGTCGCTGTTTTTCTCTCCTGGCAAGGTAATATATTGTGTGGTGACGCTCAGCAGCTTTGCGTCAATGAATTCCAAATTAATCCAGTATAATGATTTCCTCCCTCTCCCCCTACCCACCGCATCGCGAATGATTATTTAGAAATTCATGAATAGGGATAGAAAATCGGTCGCTGGAAGTCAGAAAGTTAGAAGGGAGGTGTGGTGATGCTCTCAGACAGCAGTGAACAGTGCAAAAAAGTACCAAAAAAAGTCGCCCACTTCTACCAGTTATAAGGTTATTGGCTGAATTGGTTGGCAGAACTTACTTTAGTAAACAAATAGGTGATTTTAAGTCTGGAAAGAAAAATCATGAAAATCATTCCCAAACAAACAAAAAAGTCAAACAACATGCTGAAACCTCTTGGCATGCAGGTTATAGTTTATCTTGGAATCTGCACATATTAATTTAAGAAATACACACTTAAAAAGCAGGTCTTCATTGGTTTAATTGGTCAGCTTGGCCCAAAATTGGTTAATTTCGCCTCTAGATGATTATCCTACTCTTTAAAAAAAGATAAAAGAAACAATAAAAAAAGAACATTTTTATTTGTTTGTAGACGTTTTCTGGTAAAAGCGAGTGACTAAGAACTGTAGTCGGTGAATCATTCAGCATTTGATTTGCTGGTTCGTCCCCATTTCTTTCCCAACCTGGAGACTGCGCAGAAGGCGTCGGGGGAAAAGTGCATGTGCAAGCAGAACTAAGAAAGTTCGCAGACCCGAGGTGCAGGATGTCCCGTTAAGGAGAAAAAAAAATCCTGCTGAGGAGCAGAAGCAACACAAGCTGACGGGCTGAAAGGACTGCGAACGGCACTTACCGCACAAGATATACTGTTAACCAGAGAAAATGGGCTTTCCGACGATATTCAGTTGTCGTCGGAGTCTTCTCAAATTGTTTTTGCTTCAGTTCATCGTGTTCCAAACAGTAAATGCTCGTCCTTCTCCTATTATCAGGTTTCCTGGAGACGATACCCCCAGAACAGACAAAGAAGTTGCTTTGGTAAGTTTCTGTCTTTTTTTTTTTTCTTCCTTCCTCAGGATATGTCTAAGTAGGTCAGGCAGCAATGAACTGTTTTTACCCCTGGAGTACCAGAAATGAACAGGAGTAGTTTTCACATTATTTATTTCTTATTCCTCTAATTTTATATAAAGATACCCTAAGAACGCTAACCTATTATTTTATGTTTTTATCCAAACTTTAGCATTATCTAAACAAGTTTTATGGATGCCCACAAGACAGATGTAATCTTATGGTGCTCAAGGATACCCTGAAGAAAATGCAAAAGTTTTTTTCTCTGCAAGAAACTGGAGAGATTGATGCCAAAACTGTAGAGATCATGAAAAAACCCCGCTGCGGTGTCCCAGATGTGGCCAATTATAACTTCTTCCACAGAAAACCCAAATGGCAGAACAAGGACGTCACCTACAGGTCAGAGAATTAACAATAACACACATGATTAGAGAGGCTATGGATTATGCTATAATGGGAGTGAGTGCCAGTCCACTGTGACTCCAAATTAGTTCTCAAACAATTGCGGAGGTTTTAATCAGCTTTGCCTGCAAAATGGTTATGGCATTACCACTGGGTGTGATCTAATAGTTTTTGAGTTACTTGGCATGCTGCACTTTAGGAAACCGTTTACTGCACAGCACTATTTTAAAAATCTGTTGCTTTAACAATTGCCCATAAATCAAAGTTGTTGTACTGAGACATATTTGCCCCTGTCTAACCCTCTAAAACCGACCCCACCCTCTCCACAGCCTCCATTCCACACTACCCCCATCCACACAGTCTTGAAGTGCTTGCATCTTTATGTCTCGCTAACACCAGCATTCCTACACAGTATGTGTCAGGTCCTTTGTTTTCATTCTGTTTGAGGTTTACTATGATGTGGATGTAGTTTATTTATATCAGCGGTTTTGCATGTTCTGATCATTCCAGCCTCTCTGTCTGTGTGTTTATAAGAAAGACTGGAAGCCAAAGACAATAACAACTATGAGATCTTAGACTGTTTTCAGGAAAAGGACTGTGTAGACAGGCATACAAATGGGTTTGCGGCTGAACATTGTTTCAGGAGGTGCTTTTACAGATTACTCATATTGGCCTCTTTATTTTCCATGATCTTTAGTAATGAAAGGAGAATTTGCAACACTCACAGATTGTCCTGATTGGACAATTCAAGTCATGCTTGTTTTTTTTGTTCTACTCAATTTGTAGAATCCTGGGTTACACTCCCGATCTGGATGAAGAAGTCATAAATGATGCTTTCTTCAGGGCCTTCAAAGTATGGAGTGATGTCACGCCACTCACTTTTACTCGCATCATGGATGGAGAAGCTGACATCATGATTAATTTTGGCCGCAATGGTATACTATGTGTATAAACATCACACTATATAGATATTCCATTTGTTATTTGAAAACTATTGTATATCTGTACTCAGGTGGGTTTACGAGAATCACAATTAATAAAGAAATGTATCAGTTTGTTTTATAATAATACGATTGTAAGCCCTCAAAATCCTCCTTTTATTGGATCTGCCACATCTTTGTAATAGAATAAAGAGATTGTACCGCAGGATAAAATTCTAAGAATGTTCCTATAATAATTAGCACAAGTCAATATTTAAACAGAAGCTCACCGAGTTCTAGACTAATGCTGAAGGAGCAAAAACATACATCTTTTTAAAGTAACATTCTTTTCAAAGTGACTCTACATCCCGCCATCCTGTATTTTAGGAATTCTTTAAAGACAGTGGGGATTATGGTATTAACCCAGTTCATTCCAAACATTCCAGCTAAAATAACCACTTGATATTTACCCGCATTCTGTCTGGTCACAGCTGACTATATTCAGAAAGAATCTAGTAATTATAGGGAAACGCAACTGAAAATCGGCCGCTGAAGATGACATGGAATTGTTGTTTCAGAAACAGAAATCTTTGAATACATGGACAAATGTCACATCATGTCTTAAGCAGTCAGTATACATGTTTTGATTGGTTAATTATGTCATCAATAGAGCATGGAGATGGTTACCCCTTTGATGGCAAGGATGGCCTCCTGGCTCATGCCTTTGCTCCAGGCCCAGGAATTGGTGGAGACTCTCACTTTGATGATGATGAGCAGTGGACACTTGGAGAGGGGCAAGGTAATGCAAGAATGCTAGTTACAAAAAGTGCATGCAGCAAAACCACCAGTGATGATTTCTTAATTTATTTAGTTCTTCATTTTTTTGCTTAGACTGTTATGTAAAGTTAATTTAAAACTTTGTCAGGTGAGAATTTGAAATTGTAGAAACTAATATAACTTTCAGATGCTATTTTCCAAGCATCTTTTTCTGGCACCTGACATCATATCAAACTACAGCCATCTGGAAGCTAAATTTAAAAAAAAATCTCTATTGCACACATTTGTATTCGCATCCATTGACCCAGATAGTTTTACTCCCAAGTACTTCCCCTTTTTAACATCCTTATGTCTGGATATTTAATTTGTGTGGAAATAATCTATAAACCTATTTTCCATTTCTCTTGGTGCTAGTCTTAAACAGATGAACAGATGAGGATCTCTTGGATGAATTTTTATTTTCTCAATATGTGTTTGTTGTTCATACTGTTACATACAAATCATTTGTACCCTGCATTATACAGTTTGGTTGGACATTTTTCAAAGCCTACTTTGAAACTGCTTTCCAAATTCTAGACAACAATATTTGCTTTAACTTCCAGGAAGTTGAAGCTTGCTATGTTATGTTAGCTTGCTTGCTATTATTGTAACAAAAGTTACTTTTTAAACATGTGTGAAACTAATGCTACAAAGTTTTATAGTGAATTGAGAAACCATCATATGAAATCAAACACCATAGAGCAAATATTCATATATCTTCACTCCTTTCTATGTATGCATTCTTTGTTTTACAGTGGTGAAGGTGAAATTTGGCAATGCTGATGGCGAGTTTTGTAAATTCCCTTTCCTGTTCATGGGCACTGAGTACAACAGCTGCACAGCTCAGGGTCGTGATGACGGTTTCCTATGGTGTTCCACCACTTACAACTTTGATGAAGATGGCAAATATGGCTTCTGCCCTCATGAATGTAAGCTTACCCAGTGGGTCCCTTTTTTGTTAAAGCATATACTATATGTTTGACATGCAGCTGTGATGTCTGTTTGCACATTTTGCTTTTGAAACTTGTGATTTTTGTGGCCCCACATGACCTTAGGCGTGATGTGCCCTACTTGGATCTTATTGAACCAGACAAAACATTTAATTAGTCTTTCAGTACTGGTAAAGCAATACTTAATATCACATCATAGCTATACTCAAAGCTGTTCTGTTGTTTTTGAACATGAAGAAAGTAGGTTGGCCAGGAAAATGCTTTTTTTTTTCTTTAAATTTGTTTTATTTGGAGTGAATTATGGAACATTTCTTCTCCAAGTTACTGCCCCACTTTACAACATGAGGCTTTGTCAAACATTTTGTTTATCTCTGTTATGTTGCTGTCCATGGTACTAACATGATCAGATGCTATTACAACTAACTGCCAAAATACACATGTTCAAAGTCATTTTATGTGATAAAAACACGAGTAAGGCCTGTTTGCACTGGAGTTTTCTATTTTGTTAAACTTTAGTTTTGAAGTAAAAAAAAAAAAACCAAACAGTTCCAATGTACCTATTTTGTTAATTCAAGTTTATTGTGTTCCCTTGTGTTATATCACTACTTAGTGATCAAGGGTTTTGTATTACAATTGAATTTCTTATTTTAGTTAGAAGAATGTAAAAACAAATACTGTTTTTAAATTTATTAGGCCATCTGTAACTTCATTTGGTTTGTGATTTGCAGTACTTTTCACCCTGGGTGGAAATGCAGAAGGGGCTCCATGTAAATTCCCCTTCAACTTTCAGGGGGAAAAGTATGATGGATGCACCACTCAGGGCAGAGATGATGGTTACCGCTGGTGTGCCACTACTGAGGATTATGACCGCGACAAAACGTATGGCTTTTGTCCTGAAACTGGTAAGTGGTGTGTCATGTGTTGTCTCTTATTCACATAACATATAGCAAAATGAAAGATAATCACATCAAGTTGATGTCCACTTAGGTGTGCATAGTGGTCACGGCCTTCATTATGCAATAACACTTAAATAAATAAATATTTCACTAGCGGTGCTTTTTTTGATGAGCAGTGCATAGTGCCTTGCCATATGTTGGGCTACAGGAATTCTGCAGCTGCGGTTTTTGGTTATGCTCATGGTGGGCTGAATAGCTATAAAAGTATTTTAATGTGCAGTAGCAGGGCCTATTTTCCATTCTGTCAGTGGGGCTTGTTTTAGGGTTGAGGTACTGGGGTAGGGAGAAAGGCATACAGGGAGAGGTACTACCGTTGGTGCTTTCATCTGATTTTATTTGATTAGGGATGAAGCTTTGCTG